AAAATGAGCTTTCTTCGATGTCCAAACGTTAATTGCACATAGCACCAACATGTAACCCACTCGTTAGTGAGCATAATACTGTTAATAACTGTTTAATAAAAAATGCCGGTGACGTTGGATGCACCAGATAACCACATTTTAATTTTTAAATTTTAACTTCAGAGTTTGGAACCGACTCAGACCGTTTAGAGTTGACCTACTCTTGAACTTGTTTGATCTAAGTCTCTTAATACCGCCGCTCACTAAATTGGCAAACAAGTATTTATTGACGTTATATAAGTTAATATCTGAGTTGTTAAATGGTTAATAATAATAATAAATTAAATGCATAATAAATAATATTAAAAATAAAATTAATGTTTCAACAACCATTACAACCTCACCGGAAAAAAGAAAAAAATGTATAAAAAAAATAACAAATAAAAAATAAAACATTACAATAACTACCCGTAGAAAGTTGTTATTAAGAATAGTATAGTATAGTAGTTCAGACCGATTTTGACGATCATTGGACGAATCGCTAAATGAATCGGAATCATAACTATCGTCGATGTCAGATAGATCATCCGATACATAAAAAATATCAGAGATATCGTTGTAGTAATAAGAGAAATCTGTGTCACTGTAATTCTGTAAATTTTCATAATTTGGAATGCCGAGGTGACTAATCTGATAATCGTCCTGTACGAACGTCAGAGCTATTGTCATCTGATGATGCCATATTGTTAATAATAGAGATATCAGAATCACTGTTACTCTGATGTGGTGTTCTATTTGAACTATCTAATTGTTCCTCGTTTATTTCAGCGAGTTCTGATTGCTCATCCAAGGTCTCCCCTCCCTGTTCCTCGTTTATTTCAGCGAGTTCTGATTGCTCATCCACGTTCTCCTCTCTCTGCTCCTCGTCTATTTCAGCTAGTTCTGATTGCTCATTCAAGTTCCCCTCTCTCTGTTCCGTTTCTATTGCAGGGGGGTACACTAACTCATCCCAGCTTCTCTCGCTCTCTTCCTCGTCTAGATCAGCGAAGAATAACAACCTATCTCTGTTTTCCTCTCTCGGTTCCTCGCCTTGTCCCGCGGGGATTAAGAACTCAACGGGGTTTTCCTCTCCCCCCTGTTCCTCTTCCTCCTCCTGGTCTAGATCAGGGATTTCTAATAACAGTGCCACGTTCTCCTCTACCACGTCACGGAAAGGAACTTCTAGACCTTCGTCAGAAATAACTTCCATTTTTCTTTCACATCTCAATTCGACATTCAAACCGCCATCAACATAAAGTGAAAAACATCTTTCTTCAGAAAATTCGCATACAGCACTGGCAGAATTTTCATCATTTTCTGTTGCCACATTCTTATCCAAACTTGCCAAATTTAAACGATTCAGACAGGCTGACACATTCTCAACCGTAACTCTCCTCGGTCGTCTGGCAAGAAAGTTAGAAATATCAAATTCCCTAACTTCGGGACTGTCAAAAGTGGGAATAAATGGATACAGTGAAGGGCAAATATATCCTAATTCAGGATTAAAGATTCGCTTTGACCTTAATTGGTCAAGACTATTAAGATTGGTCAAGCCAGTAACCGTCGTATCTAAACTAGAATCCATCGAACGGCTTCGGAGACCCGCACGAGAATTAAATAAGTCAGAGTCTGGTTCCACACCTCTTTCAGAATTAACATACATTGAAAAATCTGATGTACTGCTATCCATTGAATCCGCTATCACGTTTGCATTATAATTAGTAGCTAAATCTAAATAACTAAGGTGAGCAATATTCCCAATTATACATTTTTGAGCCCAATTAGAATTTTTGTGTCCAGCATATGGATTAGGTGAATGGAATGGCGGACGTGCCTCTAAACTCACCGGTGATTCTAATCTTCCAATCCTTAGAAAAAATATTAGAAATTTAGTAAAATGCTAATAGGATTATCTCATACGGTTTCTGGAAAATGTGAAACAAGTGTGTCTCCAGTTGAAACCTGATTTCCATGCCCCATAGGAATTCTTTGCTGTTTCCTACACACCAAAACTTTACTCTCTCAAACCAAGTTCCCGCATAACTTATCTCTCTATATACAAATCAATCAGTCCTCTCTTTGAATAACTGGTTATTTTCGGGTTACTAAGCCGTCTCCCATAAGAACGTTATTCAGACGCTCACACTGGACTCTGAGTCGACCCCCACACAGATGACGGCAAAATAATCAAAAAATTACAAGTTATTCAAACGATGGCCTCTAAAACCTTACCAGTACCGGCATATCTTTTCCCAGTTGCATGAATATTAGTAGATTATTATAAAGCGATGACAGTTTTAAAAAACAAGCAAGCATTCGATACTTACGGCATATTTGACGCAAACTTTGATCTACTTCTCTGTGCTTTGATTACGTTCAGTTTGTCCCCTTGCGTCTCTTCATGGTCCAAGTTATCTTGCGGATCATTTATTTCCATACAGTCTACCTTCTTCACAATTCCAGTAACATTGTCCTGACTTTTTTTCCTCTTCAATTCGGAAAAGCTGTAAATTCCAACAGCGCATTTCGGAGGCGACGCTAGTCCAACCCTTTTCCGATACATGTCACCTGCTTCCCATAACTGATTTTCTTTTCTGTGAACAATTGCAAAAGTGTCATATTAATGTGTATGCGCTATTAGAGTAACGCTTACTGTTGGAGCCAATTTTGTTGATGACCAATAATTGATCCTGGTCGACAAATTCGAATCCAAGCTATGGATTCCTCAGCTGTGAATTTCCAATGCTTCATTATATAGCATGCAATCAGAGAACCCGTTCTGCCTAGGCCTGCTGAAGAAGTAAGACAACGTCATGTGACTGAATGAAGAAATATAAAGTTGAAACATACCTTTGCAATGTACCGCAATAGCTCCTTTCGCATTTTCACATATGTTGATAAAATTCTGCATTATTCTGTCACTTGGGGTACCGCCGTCAACAAAATACAGATCTTTGTGGTCAAATCCTGCCTGGATAAACTTGCTGGCATCATAATCCTTTTTATTCAGACGAATTACAGTAGATACTTTATGTCTTCTAAAGTACGAGAAATAGGTTTCTGGCGAATGTACTGGATATCCAATATTGGATAATTTTGATCGGTTTTGTGGTCCACAAAATGCTATGAACTTATTCGGAACAATCCAGTTGAAATCTCCATTTTCAACCCGCTCGTAATGTTCATATTCGAGAAAGTCAAAACTCTCGAAGTTAAAGAAACCGAAATGTAACGCTTTCTTAACTGCTTTCAAACAATCTAGCAATGAAATGGTATATGGCTGTCCAATGGAAGCATCACGAAACTGAGTGTAGTCCTTCTGAGAACCTTGATTTAGAATTTCAAACGCCTTCTCCGGTTCCAAGTCTAAATATATTATCTGAAGACAAAATTATTTATTTGAAACTGGCATGATCGTAACGGTCGATTACTTACAGCGTAAGATCCGATCAAAAAGGCAGCGTTTGCCCTCTTTTGAAAGTCTGGCCCGGTGCAATGGACGATTTTTTTATTGATAAAAGCGGGATTGTTTAGTTTTTTCTTTAGTTTATCTGAGTAATGGTAGAGCATAGCCAGGTTTAAGGGGCCAAAGTCCAAGTAAAAACTATCATAACTCAACTCATTATCAATCGAGAAGTAGTGGACTGTAGACGTCGACTTTGGCTTGATATTCGTGCTGAGAGACACGAAAAACAGCCGTCCTGAAATGTAAAAATTACGTGACTTTCTAGAGTAACACTGGAAAAAGTGCGAAAGGAACTTGCAAATCGGGCGTATGTTTATTTTGAGAATATGCACGGTTATTTTTATCAACTATTTCGAATCGTCATGGAGTAAAACTTAAAAAAAAACCCAAACCTGTTCCAACACATATGTAAAGAATGGCAATATAAATAAGCGGAACAAAGATCGATAAAATTAGAGGATAACGAAGGCACAAGGAGCGCTGATAAAGAAGACCCGATAAATAAATTCTATGATCCGTTAAAAACGCAAGCAATACATCAACTTCGGAAAAGAAAACGTGGAAACTGGTACTTTTAGAAGCCCTAACCAAAAAATGTTTTGGTGTGAACTCGGCCTTCAGCAATAAGGCAAATAAAGCAGATTTTTATTAATCACAGCAGACTTCTTCCTACCGCTAAGGGGTTTAAGTTAAAGCTATGAGAAAAGCCAATGAAGCCGAGTAAAACCAACCAAGCTCAGCATTGAGTAGGTTGATAACTCCAAAAGCAACTGCATACTGTTACAGCTTCTGAACGTAAGATTTGGGCCTGGAAAGTGTTGAACTGAGCAACGTTCAAGGCTTGTAGAAGTCAAGTGATGGAGACTTCTTGCTTCGATGAGTTTTGTGAATAAATTCCTGTATAACCAATACAACGTAATACAGATTGCATTACGCAGTAGTCAAAACGGAAGACATGATCTGACAAGAACTTCAGCAATTGACTTGTTAAGTAGACAAGGTTTTGGTGGTGAAACCTTTGGGATTTAAAACTAAGGAAGGCTGGAAAGCTGGTGTACTTACCCTTGATGAATTCAGAAGCGTTTAACATGACGTTTTCAAAATCACTGTCCATATTTAATAGGACTTGGCGTCTTCGTTTTGTCGGAGGACTGAAAAAGTACACTCAACTATAATACTATTACCATACCAATAAAAATTTTAGCTGATTATACACCTAACCTAATCCCACTTATTTTAGTAGGTAGGTAGGTGATCTTGGGTGTAGGCGTAAACAGTAACATATTCCTGATTGATCATCAGTATACTAATAAGCAAACACTGATCAACAACTTCACTGTTCGTATAAATTAAAAATAATTGCTGTGGTAACATAACTTTTAAATAGAATTTTCCGTTTATTTGAAAATAGCAACCAGGTTTCTTATCCGGGTTACTATGTATGGCAAACGTGTAATACTTACATTCTAAACATGACAGGGTTGGTTCTTATTTCATATTTTCTGCACTTGAATTGTTTGCTTATAAAAATATAAACAATTCTGTTGCACCAGCCAAACCACAACACAAGTTTATTGATATAAGATGGCGGAAATAAGCGTGATGGTACGTCTGCCTACGTGATCACGGATACTTAAGAAAACTTTCGCAGTTCACATAGGAGGATTTTTTGTTAAAATGCAGGCATAATCCGAAAGTTGGAGAGCCAGAATGAAAAGGATTGATTCCATCATTTTAAGGAGAACATTTTGATTAAATTGAAAAATATATAAGATTTTAATTATTGACTACTCAAGATTATTCATAACCCTACCTCAGTAAGGGTTATTGCAAAGAGGCAGCCTAATTTTTCATGGCAATTGATGCACACGAAGCTAATTATTAGTATGTATATATATATATATATACTAGACAGTATTTAAGCCCCTATGAAGGGGGTTGTAGTAGCAATATCCATTATCCGCGGTTGAGCATGCGCCTCTTTATATTTATAGAGTTTGACACGACATTCAAAATGGTACAGTTGATATTCCTGGTTTGTGATTAGTTTTAAGCTTAAAGTTAAATTGATTCGGTCTATTCTCACTCTCATTAACTCGCCCTTCACACCCATCTATTGCACGTGTATTCTCTATCGACAAAGCCGTATAGCAGTATCAGTAAACGCAATTGTGTTTCTACTTAATACATTACCTCTGATATCAGTTCAGTTTTGTTGCTCAGAAAGCAACAGTTCACAGATACACAGAACAGCTTCAGAAATCCGTTTGTTTCTACACTTTAACGCTTAATCACTCAACCAACGATTTTGCTCGACTTTTCAATATGCTCAGTCGATAAACGTCAACCACTTTCCAACCGTTTCGCAGTGTAGTGCATTTTTCCTAATGCTTTTTTGCTTCGTACTGTTTCTTTTTGTTCTGTAAATCCGTATTAATTAATCACTGTACTAAAGCGCCTAGTTAACATGCACTTGCCAGATATTTCCTCTAAAGTTATATTATTAAGTCTTGATTTGCAGGGTACGTAATTCAAAATTGGCGCAAAGTCGTTTAGGGTTTTTGCGAAAGCCTGAATGATATAACTTCTTTTTAAATCAATTGAACTCAAGAACGATACCATAGAAAAAGAAAGAAGAAGAAGATAACCTCTTTACTGTATAAAAGCGGGGAATTCAACTCAGCAATAGAATATGAGCAATTTTGTGCGGTGGCGACATTTATAAAGTTATTAAACAAAATATTAATGCACTGTTTTTAAAAGATAGTTAGTTGACTCAAAATTGTATAAACATTTAGAGAGGCTTATATGGGCGCGTGCCAAAACACAATATAATCAGAAAAATTTTCTGAAAATCAGTTCGGTAAGTCTGGCATTAATTTACCCCTGGTTGTTATATGTAGGTGTAGAGAATTTCGTTTTTCGAAAAGTAACGAAAGTTTGATTCATTCTTTACAATTCTTATTCTCCGTTTTTCTTATTTCCAATATCAAAACTTTGGACAGCTTTCCTGCTATACTAAACACATCTTTTTCTTTCTTTCCAGGTGGCACGATGTAGCTTTCGGTAAGTTTGGCATTACTTTGCCCCTGGTTGCCATGCAGATGTAGATTGTAGTCCCATATTGTTGAATTGTGTTTTATATTATTGTTGTATGTCATATTTATTCGATGGCGAACGACGGATGATTTAGTCATGTTTTATTCAGGGAGAAAAAAAGAGTTTTAAGGGATTTTCGCGCTCTGGATCCGGACGGCTATTTTGTAGAAGTAGATGGCAACCAGGGTTGTAGTCTTTATTTGATAGCATTTAAGCCGCTCGGGTTTGCATTTCGCTCAATCGAAATTGAAATGAGAGCTTCAGCTCAATCGGTTTTCGAAGAATCAGCAAAATGGTGGCGGAAAATCAAATTTTGGCCGAATTTTGCACCTAAAGGTGGACCAGGACCAACACAAACTTCACTCTTTATGTGAAAAGCGTCACCATTTTGTCACTCACGTTTCTCTTACTGAATCGGTTTTCGAATTCGCTTTTCAACTAAAGAAAAACGGGTTCTTTCGCGTAATTTGTTTATAAGTAATGACGAAAAAGTCGGCGTCAGGGTTGAGCCAATTTCGCTATTTCAAAGTCAACCCCGTAAAACTATTGGCTTTGGCCTTTAAATATATTTAAGCTATTGTGGTTAGGCAATAACTCTTTTGCTAATAAGTACCTTTCACTTTATTGTAAACTGTAACAAATATATTATATGCCTGTTTACTACTCCTATAGTAGATGTTCATTAGATCAATATATTTTATGTGGGATGCTTTGCGCAACCATTAACATCTACTCTATTTTGTAAACCAAACTTATCCACTAGTTAATAACCTAACGTTCATCCGCTGTGTCGGAAAACCGACGTAATGCAAATTTTCCTTCCACAATAACCAATTTGGTGTAGAAACGTTCGAGCAGGGAATATTTTCATTCTTTCCAGTCAATCCGTGCATCACCTGCGGCTGTATCGTATCCAAATAATCCGCATTATCGCAAATAACCCTGGCTAAAGTGGTTTTTCGAATTTCATCAAGTTGTTCTATCGAGAAGCTGTAAGGGGGTTGGGGGTTTTCATACCAAAAACGGTCACCAAATTTCAAACGGATGAACTGATCTAATATCAAACACGTTAATGTTGGCCCCAGAATACTTCCTTTCAACGGCTTTTCACTAAGCGCCCCTGTGTACAAGTCGATGTCCTCAACATACCTGAAACACCACACACGTAGGTACCACTTAGTTCTCGAATTTTAACTGATATTCACCTGTAAACGGCTTTAATATTTTGTAATGAAAATGCTTCCATTATATCCTCCAGATCCTCAAAGGTTCTACTTCTTTTAAATCCGCAATGCTCCTTCCAAAACACATATCCTGGCAAGCCGTGGTCGCGTCCGCGTTGTATGTTCAATGAAACCAAATCTAACCCGAGTTTCCGAGGTGCGACATTTTGCTCAGAATCTCTTTCGAATAAATGCGACTTTAGTTCGTCAGTGAAATAACTATCTGAAGCTGCAATACTCGTGTTCATCGCTCCTTTAATAGTGCTATCTAATTGTCCACTCTGATACAGTTGAAACGGATTAAAAAGCATTTTGTGCATTTGGATAAACTCAGGATTCGATGTATCGCTGGCCAATGTTTTGACCAATCCTGGGATTAATGTATGAGCAAATCTAAATGCAGCAGCAGCAAATTCATTTGAAATACTTGCGTCTATGGACGCATTGTATTTCTCAAAGTACCCCTTAGATTTGGGAAGTAATCCATGTTTCTTCATCAACGTTTTTCCTAATGATGAAAATACGTCGCATCAAAAATTCGCAACTATATCGTAAGCCCTTACCAAGTAGAATGGGCAGAAATTCATTATATGTTATATGTTGCATTTGTGCTGCAATGATTCGTCTAGTTTCTTGAAATACTCGCTCATCCGACCAGTGAGGATTTGAGCTAGACAGATTATTGGCTAGAAAATTATGCTGTCGTGCCCAAATCAAGTGCATGCTGGTCAAATGCAAATTCTCGTTGGCTCTGGAGTCGCCTAACAAAACATACGCTCAAACACCACATGAATAGCAAATCATGATTAAAATAATACCGCTTAAGAAGCAATATCTTCCTTTGCTTATTTCATCTTCCCTGTTACAACCGTCAGTCATATCATCAGATATCGGCAATAGGGTTCTGTTGTCGTCAGTTGTATACATTTTCAGCAATCCTTTAGACATAGTTCTTAGTGAGAGCGCTTTGCTTTCATCACTTCCGTAAACTACCGAACCATCAATGAAAGCTGATGCTTGATTCATTTGTTCCCTAGGGCCTAAAAAAGTGCAAATTTGTTACTAAACTGATACATTTCACACTCATTCACCTAAACAGCATTGCGGCGAAGGAGCGGATCGTACAAATTCCATGCAAGTAACATTGTACATGGAAAGCGGATCTGCGTTTGAAATGATCACAGGGAAACAATCTGGTGATGAAATTTCATTTTTCACACAGCAGGAAATACTGCTTCCATTTTTCTTTTGGCTTAGTGCGGTAGCAGTAATGTCATGATCCAAAAACTGGCCCCAAACTGCAACCATAACGGAAAATTTTACATCATCCTTATGAAATGTTCTGTGTACTTCTAGACTAATAGTTCTAGCGGAAGGCAAAGGTCCATTCTTAGACTCTCGGGGTTTGCTGATACCTGAAAAAACCCATATATAAAATTCCAAGCTGATTCATTGTGTTTTATATTAGTTACCATCAGCATAATCCGGTTGAATGGCTCTTCTAAAGGGCCGATAGGCAACTCCGTAGGTGTTGGGGTATTTTATATTGTTACATGTTCCGTTATAGGATCTATACATGAGTAAACCATTGCACGTAGTGGTCTCATTGGAACACATTTCCCTTAAGAAGGGATCTGAATAATTGGCAGGGCATGTAAATTCCTTTCGACTCTTTGTCTGATTGCTACTACAACATCAGTATAAATTTTGTTTGTTTTGTGAACCAGAGAAGTTGGTACCCATATAAAAATCGCGCGGCTCCTTCAAGCTGATATCCTTTCCTGCTCAGTTCTCTGGCTTTGTCGCTGGTTCCCATTACACGCTGATGTCTGTAGCTAGGACTATCAATTGGCAACGATGAAGCGTTTTTTTCAATGGAATCTTTGCTCTCAAGAAACATTTCTCCTTCTTGCATAGCATGATCCCAGTTTCCCCTATCATTAGTTTTCATTTCTACTTGATCTTCTAAAGGCCAAGTGTTATTAAATAGCGTTATGAATGTATCAACTGATATCAAATCGGTCTCATTAGAAGTGGACGCAGTTTCCTTTTCAGCGTCCACTGGCAAATTAGTTGTGTACGCTATTGTTATTACGAGTGATGCCAAAAAACCTACTCTGAAAGAGATTGAATCCTAAATAGAAAAAATGTTTCTGTACTGTTTACTTCGTAACAACGGTAATAAATTTTCGTGTTTTTGAAAATTCACTGTTAAAATGCTTGTATTTTACTTACAGTAATATAGACCACAAGCAGCACTGAAATTGTCTGACTCTCCGCTTGCGAGCTAAACTGGACCCAAATACATACGGAGGTTGATGTGTATGTAAAAGTCTAGTTGTTTCAATGGATTCTTGATCAGGCATTTTTAAGTTACAAAAATCGATCACTAAATATGTGCGAATGCCGTGTTTTAAACTACAGTTCGCGTTCGAATGAGGAAAGTCTCAGAAAAGTGATATCTAGAAGCCAGTGAAGTGTGAGGGAAACCTTAGATCACTTCGGCTCATATTTCCACGAGTCCAATAAAATGGGACATTTTACTGGTTTATTAATTTTTGTAAAAGTGCCTGGAAGGTAGTCTTTATTAAAGATTTTCTATGGTGGTAGTTGGAATAGAAAAAAAAACAACATCGAATTTGATAAAAATGTGTCTATTTAAATTACCAACTGGTTGACTGATACATTGAGATAGCAAGTCGAGATACATTTGAAATTCTGATAGATAGATATACGGTGTTTACAGCGAGAGAAACAAACACATAGGCCACATAAATTGGTCTGATTTGAATAGGAATACTGCATTTGTGATATAAAGTATTAAATAATGCCTTTCCTCTATGCAAGTTCATCATATACAACCTTATCAAAATTAATTCTTAATATTAAAATACAAAAGCTATGACAATGTCATTCAAGAACAGAATATGAAAAATATACTTGTATAGACAAACAACATAATATTTACATGGGCGTTCCAGCAGACGCAACATCGAACTCAACAGCAATTATTAACCGTAAAGGAATACAAATGCAATGCTCAAAGGTAGTAGAAGAAAAATAAATAGCATATTCTTTTGAGCTGTTATAACAAAAAAAATAATTAATTTCGTTTTACTATAAGTATAATATATATGTATGTATGTATACTAAAACTACTCCAGTCTTATTTGCTTCTGACAGTTTTATATTGGAAACTGACTTACAAATATTTTAATTTGATTGGACACAACGTTACTGCCACTAAAAGGAACACATACATATAACAAAATCAGTTCGAATCCTGCAGATGATCGAAAGGAATGCCACCCTTTATCGATAGGTAACATCTGTTTTCTCATTAACTTTGTAGAAATGGGAAGTGTGGCACTGTTAACAACAAAATGTTGTGCATCTTGATCTACATTGTTCATAATTGAGCTGCATCCTTGAATCAAAGCAACATCGACCCCTGTTCAGATTGGAGTCTGAGACGAAAAGCGCAAATTTGAAAGAAATGTATGAAGATTTATTTATGAACATTTAATAATAAAAAAGTATCACTTTGATTACATTAATAAATATCGTAGAAAATATGTATCTACTCTGCCAGTATCAAATAATATAAAGGCTTAAGAAATATATTTAATAATCTCCACATTTGACTATCCGCTAATATAAAAGTTGTACGTATGAAACCATCAAAACATCATCGTGAATTGTTCGTATCTCCATACCAATTTAATTAAAAACCTCCTGTTCTTGGCATAAACGAAGAAAATGGCGCAAACAAGTTGGATTTTCTCAATCGACAAACCTGTTGTGAAAGCCAGAAATAATATTGTCTGCGTTAGTAGTCATTGGACATTTTATACAGGTCTACCTCAGGACGGGTTTATATTGAATTAAAAGACCTTCGTCTATTTTAAAATAGAGCAAATTTATCCCAGATGTAATTAGGTTTGAAAATAATCAAGCGCTAGCTAGTTTCGGTCCGTTAAGATTTCCTCGTTGCCTAGTATATTAAGTCATTCGTTGGTCGCTTCCTGTAGCAATATTGAAATAATTTAAAAAATTAACACTATAAGGAGAGCGTATTGGGAAAATTAGCAAATTACTGCCATCGCATTCTGAGTCATGAAAAATATCTACATATAAATTGTTAAAGTGAATTAATTATCTAAACACCCAGAATTTTCAAGAATTACAAATTAATTAATAACTCCCTTTTGTGATGTGAGCAAGTCGTTTACGGTGGAAGATCTTCCTTATTACAAACCATTTCTATAGATACGGATCGTATAGGGACAGAAAAGACCGGTTTCTTGAGCACCATAGGTTTGGTTTTAGTTGGAGGTTTGAAGCTTGAGGTGGAAGTGGAACTGCCTCCCAGTGTCGCGTATTTTCTATTTGGCACTGGACTTGTGATAGTCATAAAATCATTAGCCTCAAGCTGAATTTTAGTGTTCTTTTTCAAAGTACATTGATTCTGTTTTGCGAATGTTTCGGCAGTGGTCAGCTCAGGACTTTCGACATCTTGTTGAGATTTTTCTTTGTTGCTGCCACTTTCTGGTAAACTATTAAGGCATAAATTGGACAGCACTGATACAGAGCTAGCTAGAGGTAGATCCATAACTAGATCCGGAGTATGACTCTGCCTGTGAGCAAATGGTTCTGATAGTCTTTGAGTTTTCATTAAAGGCGAAGCTGCTGCTTCAATATTAGCTCTTCGTTGCCATAAATCTCTGTTTTGAGAAAAGTTCACGTTGGACTCGTCTATTTCAGCCTTTTCCCTCCGTATTACTTGAGCGTCTTCATCTAGGGATATCTTGTCAGGTTCAATAATGCTGGAATTTAAGTTTTTTGCTATTTCCTTAATAACCGCTTGGTGTAGTTCCTTTTTAATATCACCTGCTTGCTTCCGAGTTTCTTCGAGCTGAAATCAAAAGAAGGAAGGTGTAGAAATCCATTAACAGTTTTGCGTATGGCATAAATGAGGTTGAATTAGTACTCTTACGAGAAAAAGCAATAAATTTTACTTGAAAATGTTGGTTTCAAAATTAAAAGAACTTTTTGCCATTAAACTA